TGATTGCACAGCTCTTCTTAATATGACTGAACTATTGAATTGTATGACATGGGAATTATATGCCAATAAAAAATGGGGTGGGGGGGAGAGACGAAAACTATGCTGCTGGAGAAAAAAAAGAATGGTGTCTACCTGGACATGTTATGTTACAGAAAACTCAGTAGATTAAAAATAAATCAATGGCAAAAAAATACAGATTGGCCAGTCACCTCTCTGTCAGTCTATAACCGTACTTAGAAGCTTCTGTGTATAGTTCTAGAACTAGACTTCACTGGAGCTCACATAGTATACTACTTGGCCTAGTTCATGATTACAGATCACATTTTCTGCAATAAGCATGACTATAAGGTAAACTGAAAGTCATTTTTTAATCCTCCGACTTACATAGGATTCTAAATAGTTAAGTAGTATCAAATGGCTCTATTTTTCCTTTTTCTAACTCAACACACTTATAATCTCTCATTTTATTTCTTATATTATGTATCACAGAGTAGGGTACAGTATAGATTTGTTGACTGAATGGATGATCATCTCCCTCTAGTACTGATACCATGGCGTGTCCTGGGAGTCCTCATCCAGAGGCTAAAAAAGATATCTTGCTCCCTCTCTTCCTTTGGCAGATGAATTGGCCTGAAATACCCAACAGGAAGCTGTGGAAAACTCAGTGGTCAGCTCCAGTGTGGCCATGACAGGCCTGTGTCTCACTGACAAGCTCATGCCACTCCAGACTCTACTTCAACCTGAAAGTTTCACCTGGGAGCAGTTGACACCTGGGCAGTTTAGAACATAGCCAGTTGGCTGGGGAGTAGGTGGCTCTTTTCCCATTCCTGGCACCAGCTCCCTCAAGGACAGGAAACTGCTGGGAAAAATCACAGGAAGGAAGGTCGATCTTGTGGCCCCTAGAAGTGATGATGGGAGAGGCTGACCCATGTTGTTTTATTCATTCTGACATTCTTTGGGTCCTCCCATGGCTCAGTTGACAGCTCTGATGACTATAAGATGCATAAATAAGGAAGTCCTTGACCTTCCTTATAGCCCCAAAGAGGTAGACAGTAGGACAGGAGGACAGTTATGCCCCAAGATAATTCTGATAACCTCAGACAAATTCAAGAGGAGGGGAAGTTCAATTCTGAGAGGGATGATGAGAAGACATTCCTAGAATGATAGAGATTTAATTTTTTTGTAAGTGGAGAGAAGGAAAGAGTAATTAGAGGAGTTAGAAAGAGGAAAGCCCCAAAGTAGAGAAAGGCAAGGCAGGTACAAAGATAGCCAGTGTACTGATGTGGGAGAGTTTGGGGGCCCGCATCTATTGGCTGACCTCTATTCTCCATGCAGCACTCATGCACCCCATCCCCCAGGAGCTCTAGGCATACAGGCCACCCAGCGCTGCCACCTTCCCTTTGCTCAGCCAGCAGAGCTGCTTACTGACTCTACTTCACACTTTAGATGATCCAGGTAGGGGATGACCTCTAAACCACTGTGCCATGTAAGCTACAAGAGAAAAGGAACAAGTGATCAATGTGTTAATTAGAACCCGGGACACCCCTCTCTGGACTTGGCGTGAGGAAGGCACTCTCTCCTTCGCTGCAGGAAGGTGAGAAGGAAGGTAGGATATGCCACGGGTTAGGGTTGCTTTCAGGAATGTTCCCATGGCCCAGGGTTTAAGAATCATGTCACCCGTGTTCATCCAACTCTCTTGAAAGTGCTGTGTTGGGGTGTTCTCGCACCTCCCTTTGGAAGAGTGTATGTGTTTCATGATTTTTTAAGATCCTTTAAAAACAAAACTCATTATAACTCTAGAAGGCAGATGGATGAGACCATTCCATCTTAGAGAACAGGAAACTGAGCTTTGATGGAAAGAGCAGATTTTGAATCCAGGGCTCTCAGATTTGGGTGTTTAGACCATACTAGGGAACATGTATGGCTCAGCCTAAAGTACTCAATAATATTCGCTGAAGGAAGAGTTGGTTCGCTTAGATAATGGAGTAATGTGAATGCCTTGATTACATTCAATAGGGAAGGAAAACCCAGCAAAGGTTGTTGAGCTCAGAGCCACAGATGGCTGTGATACCCAGGAACCGGACACAAAGATCCAAAAGGATTTAGAATCGAGAAAGAGTGGAGGTGGGGGCAGGTTAGGAGGCTGGAAAGAGTTCAGAGAGTAAGTTGTAAACGCTATAGCGGTTTTTCAAGCCAAGTTGAAAAACGTTTCGGTGACCGGGCTATAGATAAAGCAGTTCCGTCCCAGTCATCCAAGACATTAACATCTGAATGGAGGTACAGAAATAGGTGTAAGCCAGAGGAGCTGGCAATCAAGTAAAGAGGATTGTTGCAGAACAGGTAATA